GAGTATCGTTGCACCCCGAATATATATATATATATATATCATGTATCTTTGCTCTCAGCAGTAAAATTGAAATATTTTTAAACAGCATCAGCAGGACCCATGTACATGTTCACGAGACACAAACATGTAACCCACTCTTGAAATTGCTCCCCTATAGTGCTGCTCCACCTCTAATTAATATGTTTGTCTTTAGAAGTTTAGAAGGTACACAGCAGGGTTCTTTTTCCATAAAGGAACAAAGTGTTTGCATTATTTTACTGTGTCCACTAAAATGTGACACAAACGGCCTTGACTGCTAGGCTGAGCAAAAGGCCCCATATTTGTGTTGGGCTGGGCAATGCTCTCGGCATGGTCTCTCTCTTATGGTCAGTTAATGCTAACATGTCCTATTGTGCATCTGCAAACTGTCACTTCTACTATTTGAGTGAATGTATGGGACACTGCAGCGGGAAATGGTTATTGCATGACCAAAGCCATAAAAAATAAATTATTTTATGCAAAGGGGTTTTAATAGAATAAATCCGTTTCCATTTCTTTGTCTTCAAACTCTTCCTACACCATCAAGAGTTGAGCAACCAAGCTTTACAAATAGGTAGATTTTAAGCTCCTGAAACTTCTTTCCATTATCAGACATTATGATGTCATCATATAGCTTAGCCACATTTATGTACCTACACCGTTATATAAAAGCATTATAGGCATAACATGACCGCAACTTCTACAATTTATCCACAAAACTTAAATTATAAATGATATACACCATCTAGCTGTCTGGCAAAGACCTAGCTAAAAATGACCTTTTTTAAGTCTTTACGCACCTACAACGCCCTCTGAAAGCATTCTACCATTTTAATTTCATGACAACGACATCTCATTTATTGAATTATACATGCTTAGTAACCACCTAGCAATGGGCGAAAAATTTTAGCATGTAAACAATATCTAAATAACGATGCAGCACTGCGTACCTCTCTGGCAACCAGCTTCCAGAAACCCTGAGCAACTACTTTTCAGACGGTTGGGGAATATGACTTTCACTAGCAACTAAAGGTTGCCAGAAGGCTCTAAGCATGCATGACTGAGGCTAGCTTGAATAGCCTCAGTCATGCCAGCCTCAGTAATGCTAGCTGAAAGCTATTCAAGCTAGCATGGATTTGCAGTGCAAATATGAGCAATTCTGACGCTCCAAAAACAATATGGTTACACCTGGTAACACCTAGAAAGTAAAACAGAAACTTTAAAACAGGTGACCAAAGGGTGATGTGAAGTTGGCCATTCTTGTCCATACACTCTTTAGTGTGAGGGTGGGGCCACATGGACCGGACTTATTTTGGTGCAGCTCAGAAATTGTCGATGGGATTGGACTGTGGGGAGTTAGGAGGGTACGTTAAAGCCTTGGCGTCTTTTCTGCTGGTGGAGATCATGGCTAGCATTTCAATGCAAGGATTTCCCATCACCACATTACTTACTCTCGCCTTCTATGAGTGTATTTAATGCTATGGCTGAGCACTGTAGTGCTGCGACACTGCTAGCAGTAAAATCTCCACATTCGGATTGTTTAACAGTCATCTTTCTTCTTCCACACAATGCAAACAAAAGCGTTTAACAGACATTTGAGCTTTGCCTGTTTCCTGCTGTTCAATGAATGCATCATTACACAATCAGCATGTTACTCAGTATCATTTTAGTTTCATCTCCCAGCAAGAACATTAAGCACTGATTACCTCATAAACTGACTGATGCTTTATATCTTTCACTGTGCCCATCATCCTCCTTCCCCTCATCCTCCCCTCTTTCTAATACACACATTCAACTTTACCTTCACATAGGCCACTATCTTCAGAGATATGGTGGCCAGATAGAGGGAGTTCATGGCGAAGTCCATCAGATTCCACCAGTCATGGATGTACTCTGTGAATCCCCCGTCCCACATCTCCTTAATCTCTGCCCAGATGAAGCCTAAAACACACATGCACAGTGTACAGAGAGCTGGTTATTTACATGCACACACACACAGTTGTGTCTATACGATCATTTAATGTCATCCATCAGCGGTTTTTGTTTGCCTCATTTCTGCAGTATGACAAAAGTTCTGCTGAATATTCCCCTTTGTCAGCGGCCTTGGAGCAGTAAGCAGAGAGCCAGCATATTTGTTCTGTATGACTGGCTTTAGATAAAGTAAATAATGCACAAGTCATTTTCTATTTAATACGCTCTCCCTGGAATATCTGGCTCTTGGTTAACCTGGATCCCAAGTTTTCACGTATCAGTTTGCCTCTGCGGCACGGTGGGTCAGTGGTTTGGTGTGTTCCAGGAAATATGACGCCAGAGGAGCTTCCAGTTGGTTCTTCCCAATTAGACTGGCCGTTACTACCGCCTAGTAATGTTTAAAAGACAGAGCTGGTGTGTGGTTCATTATCACTGCGGCCGTTTAGAGAGATGCTGCAGAACTGCAAATGGAGAATGAAAACTAAGCAACGGTTATTTCCTCAGTCAATCTTCTGGGAGTTTCAGGGGTTATAAAAAACATCTACGACTCTCTTCCTCTTTCATTGCTCACTGCGTTCTTCTTATCTGTGAACAAACTCTGTCCTAGCAACAAATCCAAACATAGTTATTATTCTCAGAAACAACAAACAATATTTCCAGAGTGGTCATAGTCATTTATTGGTGTGAAACAGATCCAAAACAATGGATTCTTGGCTCTTGGTTTTGTCATAAAGCAAAGTGAGGATGATGTTCAAGTATTATGTTATATGTCAAGTGTAGGGTAGAATGACCACAGATCCCATGATAAGATTTACATTTGCTGGAGCAGAGCGAGTATCCTGATTACCAATATTGTGTTGCTATGAACTGCAATCAGGGTTTGTGACTATTCTGTAAAATAAACAAATAAAAAAAGCTGACTTTACAGTATTGTTGTATCTTAATTATCATTTAGTCACATCTGGACACTCCAAATGTCATTATTATACAAAATAAAGCAATGAGCATAAAAAGCAGAAGGGTTATATTTTTATGCAATTCAAATACAAGATGTTACTATTATTATTATATTATAAACAGGAAACATCTACAAAATTACTCTATTAAGCCTCAAATTAAGAACTGACATTTGCAATTCAATTAATTTTTCATCATTTCTAATGGAAGAAGTTTAATTATTCTGAAGGTAATAAAAAAATGTTTTATATAA